TTACCCCTTGGCCATGTGCCCTTATGCCATGCACAGCTCACAGACACATTTGGAAACAACTGGCTCAAATCGAGTGCTTTCTGGCTCCCTACACTCTTTCCCCACTCAGTGGGCCCCCAGGCCTTTGAGTTTAGGGGTAGGGGTAAGGAATCAGCTTCAGGATCTCCTCACTGCCCAGAGGAGGAGTCATGACAGGGTTCACTTCCTGCTCCTGTTCTCCCCTTAAAGCTAGCTAGAGTGCTACAAGCTTGCCTCTGGTTTTCTCTTTGCCTCTCAGGAATGTTGAGCTGGATTACCAGTCACTCACAGGCTTGAACTAGGTTCTCACAGGTGGTATGCAGAGCAAGAGAGAATACAGTCTGCTTCAGTGTCAGGGACCCCTGCTTCCAGGACCCCTTGCTAGCCGGGGAAGTTGCCAAAGCACTGACTTCAATGTCACCCTCCACCTGGTCATCCTTGGAGAAGCATACATTTCTTTCCAGAGCCTCTCAGAGCCATGAGAGGTCTGGATCATTTACCTTTTGTGAGGCTCCCAATGTCTTAGAAAACAAATACCTGCCAAGAAATTGTTATTCTGATAGCAATATGCAGTAAGAATTTATATAGCAAATTAATGGCTTTAAACACAATTTATAATGCAATGTAAGTGTGCTATTCTTAAGTACAGGATTGATAGGAAACATTGATTCCTAGTGCACTCCAGGAAGTGTGGCCCAAGGATGAGATGCAGATTTAAAGTTGTGTCATAATTGTCATCTCTCAATACTATCAGGAGACGTCTGGGAATGCCTGTGTTAGCACCTCCTTTGGAGATAACATCCCAAGCCTACATCAAGGTCATAGGTCCTGCAGCTGCCCAGAGGAAAGGCGTTTCTAAGGGGTTTCAAGGTAGAGACTTATGGCTTTCCCAAGGAGTGGGTCAGAGCCAACCAGAGGTCAGAGACCTAAAGAGTAAGAGTTCACCCAGTAGGACCTCATTTCCACTACGCCACATGGTTGGTCTTTTTAGCCTGGCAAATTCCATAGCTCGCTGTTCCAGGAGCAGGTGAGCAGTCTTGGAATTCACGGGCCAAGTGCTCCTGCATCCCTGTGGCAAATGAGTGCTGGCTCCAGGTTTTGGACTCTGGGGGTTGTAGGGGAAATTCAGAAAGTAGGGGAAGAGGAGAGGGAAAGGATACAACCCCCATCATTACATCCAACTGTGGAGCTTTATTATAGTGTCCTACCCCTCTCCTGATGTCCTTTGGGGCTCTAGCAATAAGTTTACAAGATGAGTGCTGGGAAGAATGAACGGCCTGCTGCCTGTTCTTCCCTCCAAAAATAGCCCCCCGCTCCTGTGTGTGGGAGGATTCCAATCACTGCAGCCTTCCCCCTGCATCCCTCCTTATTCCACCCCTCGCCACTGAATTGCAGTCCTGGGGAAGTAAAGCCGCATTCCCCAGATTAACTTGTCTCTCCTTGAACCTCCTGGGACTTTCCGCCAAGCCTGCCTTGTGATGTGCATGACTCCCCGAGGATCTTGGTACCTACAAAGACAGCTTTGGGGTCACCAAGAAGCTTAGAACGTTCTTCTTCTTTTCTGTGTGTTGCATTTGGGGCTAAGATTGAGGCAAGGTTGGAGGAGATGCTGAGGGAAGGAGTGGGTCTGCAGGTCCCCAGCCCCAGAAGGAATGGGTGTAGATACTGAGGGAAAGAGGTTGCTCCTCCTTGGCAGAGTGTCCCGCTCTTTTGCCTCAACCTGCTTCTCTGTTGGCCACTGGTGCTTGTGCTGCTCACCTCAGATGGGAGAGATTTCTCCTCCTTCTGAGGAGCAGAGGTGAGGTGCTCTGAGTCCCACCCTGGGCTCGGAATTCAGTCTGTTTAGTTCTAGGATGGCTTTCTAGCTTTACTCCAATGTTGGTCACCATCTGCCAAACTGTAAGTTTGTGGAGGGTGGGAGATCTGTCTCATTTATCTCTATCTATCCCCTATCTTAGATGCTTAGCAAAGTGCTTTTCCACAATAGATGCTCAGTAAGGGGGGCGCCTGGGTGGCTCAGTTGGTTAAGTGTCTGACTGCAGCTCAGGCATGGTCTCGCACTTTCTGAGTTCGAGCCTTGTGTTGGGCTCTGTGCTGACAGCTCAGGGCCTGGAGCCTGCTTCGGATTCTGTGTGTCCCTCTCTCTCTGCCCCTCTCCCGCTGGCACTCTGTCTCTCTCTGTCTCTCTCAAAAATAAACATTAAGAAAAGATACGTGCTCAGTAAGTATTTATAGAATTAAATGTCGGCACACATAAGGTCTTAGTCTTCCTTGTCTCTTTCCCCAGTACCTTTATTCAAGGAGAGGGGGTGGAGTGGAGACAGCTGCATGTCATGTTTTGGTCAGAAAAATTATACTTACATTCAACCCTGTGAGCATTACCTGGTGCCTGAGGAAAGCATGTTCCCTAATCCCTAGTGCTGGTCCTCCCTGACTCCTCCCTCTGCTGGTCCTCACCTCCTCCTTCCTCTGGTTGCACCTCCCATAAACCCAGTGCCGGCAGCATCCTCTCCAATTGTGTCCTTCCCCTTAAAACCCCATCCCGGGGCTAGTTACTGGAGTGGAAGCTGTCCAATCGACTTAATTCTGAGTTCAGTGTCATGTTCAGGGAGGAGAATGGGCTTTGCTTACTGTTTTCCTCTCTTGCATGACTGGGTCTGTGCCACTGATGACACTTGGCACTGCCCCTTCCCCGCCTGGAGGCCAGCAGTGCCAAAGCCCTTATATATAAAATGCAGATACTCTGCTTCTTCTCACGAGAAGCAAGAACCCTGCTGGGAGAGCAGATCTGGCCTGGCAGCTGACCCTCCAAGGCTGGGAATTTAGTGCATTCCCTCTGACCCGGCATCTTGTGCTACAGGCTTCCTGCAAAGGACCAACAGCCTGGAAGAGAAGAGCCGGCTTGTGAGCGCCTTCAAGGAGAGGCAGTCCTCCAAAAACCTGCTTTCCTGTGAAAACAGCGACAGGGATGGACGCTTCCGGCGCACGGAGACGGACTTCTCCAACCTGTTTGCTCGAGGTAGTCCCCACCCTCCTACCCTCTCCATGCCCCCCAACCCTCACCAGCCCTATCCAGTAGGTACCTTGAGTTTCTTGACTTTTTCCTGTAATTATACTTCTGTTATCAAAAATGTCATTACTTTTTCTGAACTGTCAGGAAACTACTTTTCCAATATTTGAACGAATATACTCCCTCCTTCCCTACTGCCCAGGCCTTCTTCGTTGTGGATCCTGGATGAGGGCAGTCAATAAAAACAGTCAACTCTGAAGACACTTGCAGGGGCAAATATGGTTTCATAGAATCTCTGAATGTGAAGAAATCTTACATATAAGAAAATCCAGTGATTCCCATGGTAGCAGTTATCCTTCAGGGTTGGCAGCAACAAGAAAATCACTCTGTGGGAAGCTGTGCGGCTGGGCCTAAAGACCAAGTGCTGTTCTGAAACTCCTTTTCCTTTTGGAGATCTTTCACTAATTACTGCTGTCCCCACAACTCTGGTCTCTGGAGGGTTTTCTCAGCCTCTCCTAAAACAGCTTGAAGGTAAACCTGCCCCCTTCCATTAACTCCCCACAGGCCATAGAGGCCAGACCCAAACAGTCAATAGGACTTCACTGAACCTCAGAGATAATCCGGTGAATCGATACAGAGCCTCATGTAGAGCCAATCAGCTCTTGCGCTATGGCTGACAACTGCAGCTGGCCCCCCTACAGTTTTCCTCTCTGCTTAACCCAGCCTGACTCTGCCTCCCACAGGCTAGAACCCAAAATCACCCCCAGATATCCCAAAGTCCAAGCTCAAAGGATGAGGTGAAGAGGGAGAGAGATGGGAGTTCCTTCTCCCACTTTTCTGAGCCCATCTTCTAGCTCTAGTTTTCTATCCAAGGACACTACAGTGGACCATTCTGTTCGGGGGAGGACCTCAGCCTCTGCCCACAGAGCCCTCACCCTCTGCCATCAATGATCAAACATATCATAATGCCCAACCAAAAAGCCAGTGTCTTAAACAGATGTAGAGGGACATGCCTGGTCCCAGGGGAGCAAGACAGAGGCTCCTTCCATCACATACCTGACGAGCACTCAGCCTGCAAGTGGACCACAGTAGGAGTAGGCTGCTCATGGCTTCTCAAAGCACTCCATTCCACTTACGAGCAGCCTAACTCTCAGACAGTCTGTAAACCTTCAGAAAGTCTAGGCACAACTTCTGTATATAGACATATATGCATTTTTCTGGGGAGACGGCACATCAGATTCTCAATGTGTATACATAACCTGGAATATACCAGGTCTGTAAAGCTGTCATGGCTGATATGAGGGGTGTCTGGACTAAGGCAATTCAGACATGAGCCAGGTGATAACCCCTTGTTGGCTTTCCCCTTCAGATCTGCTTCCGGCTAAGAATGGGGAAGAGCAAACTGTGCAGTTCCTACTGGAGGTGGTAGACATACTCCTCAACTATGTCCGCAAGACATTTGATCGCTCCACCAAGGTGCTGGACTTCCATCACCCGCACCAGCTGCTGGAAGGCATGGAGGGCTTCAACTTGGAGCTCTCTGACCACCCTGAGTCCCTGGAACAGATCTTGGTTGACTGCAGAGACACCCTGAAGTATGGGGTTCGTACAGGTAAGAGTGAGAGCCAGGCGGACGTGCAGCGGGAAATTCGCCCCCCATTGCACCCTTGCCAGTTGAGGACAGCAAACTCATGTTCAAGGTGAAGCACAAACTCTGATGAGGGAAAGCAGCAACATGTTCAGCGACCACAGAACGACCTTGGACAGTGGCAGTGGGTGGAAGGCCTAAGTCTGGCAAAAGCTCATCATCATTTTTTGTTGTAAACATAAATTAAGAAATACAAACTCGTGGTGCTATTTCAAGTTCTGTAAAAAGAGTTTTCATTCTTGGTTTTAGGCTCTTCCCAGCCTAAAAAGAGGAGAATGACCTGTCCCCTGCTTCTTTTCTCTCCTCCATTTCATGCCTATTTCATTCTGATAAATCTTACCCTTGCCTGCCCCTAAATCAGGGGAGAATTGGGCCCATTTCCCTCCCTTTCTGTATTAGTTTTCTAGGGCTGCCATAGCAAATTACCACAAACCAGGTGACTCAAAACAAGAGGAATCTATTCTCTCACAGTTCTAGAGGTTTAGAAGTTTGAAATTTAGGTGTGCAGGGCCATGCCCTCTTAGAAGATTCTTAGGCTCTGTCCTTACCTCTTCCGGCTTCTGGTGGATGAGGGCATCCTTGGCTTGTAGATGCATCACTCCGGTCCCTGCCTCCACCTTCACATGGCATTCTCCCTGCGAATGTGTGCACAGTTTTCTCTTATTTTTTTTTTAACTTTACTTATTTATATTTAGAGAGAAAGTGTGAGTTGGAGAGGGACAGAGAGTGAGAGAGAGAGAGAGAGAGAGAGAGACTCCCAAGCAGGCTCCATGGAGTCAGTGCAGAGCCCGACACAGGGCCTGAACCCACGCCCATGAGATCAGACCTAAGCCAAAACCAAGAGCCGGATGCTTAACTGACTGAGCCACCCAAGTGTCCCCAAAGTTTTCTCTTCTTATAAGGACACCAATCTTTGGATTAGGCCTACTCCACTCCATTATGGCCTCATCTTAATTTGATTACATCTGCAAAGACCGTCTTTCCAAATAAGGTCGTATTCACAGGAACCAGGGACTAAGACTTGATCATATATTTTTGAGGGACACAGTTCAACCCACAACCCCTTCTGTTCTCTAGGCAAAAATGTCACACACATACACACCATTTGCACCTTACTCTAACCTCTGGAGTTTAGACAATCTGAGTCATTAAATCCTATTTCTAATAGGAGGCCTTTGAGGATGCCCTCTTGCCTCTTGTTTCATGTTATAGAAACCCTCTCTAGTCAATGGTCCTGGCCAAAGTGGTTACTTCCCAGGTGCTTCAAGTTGAAGGACTTTTTGGATCTCTGACTGGCTGTTTCTAAGCCTACGAGTGGAGCAATGGTTTCTCCTTCCTGCTGTTTTTCCCCCACAGCAGCTTGGCTTTCCCGAGCTCTTGGGCAGACAGATCTACAGGAAGTGGCAGTCCGTGGCATAGTTGCCACCACAGGGGAGCCCCTGGTAGCCCCTTGTTCTTTTTATTCTTTCTCCCTCTCCTCTCCTTTGTTATCCCTCTCACTCCTCCTAGTCACTTGAAGGTAGATTTAAGGCCAAGACCAGGGAGGTTGGGGGTGATAGAGCCGAGTGAGACTATTGCGTGTCAAAAACCAAGTGTTGGAATGAAATAGGCTGGCCAAAGAAGCATTTTTAAATAAGGAATCCCAAACAGCTTTTGAGGTGTGCCAAGACCACTGAAACGAGTGTGGCTGCCTTGAATAACTGCAGGACAGACAAGACTTAATTATGTTATAAAGTCTTTGTTTGATTTTTAAAGAAAAGCCTGCTCATCAGTTTAGTTGTGGCTCACCTTGGTCTGATGGCTAACCTATCCCTGATGGAGATCAAGCAGTGTTATGTAGCCAGACAAAAAAGAGTCAGGATTCTCCATGTGTGTTTTAGCTGGACTTGCTTTAGTCCAGTGTTTTTTATTTTGTCAAGTCACTCTCCACACACTTTCTCAGACAGGTGAGACCATGTGCTTTTATCACCAAAGCTCAGAGTAGTGTTGTCCCTCAAAGAAAAATTGATTAGTCATAATCGCAGCTCGTATTGCCTCCAAAACTGAAGCATCACATGGTCATAGAAGCATGGACTCTTATTAGACCAGTGTATGACTCTACTTAGATATTTAGCCTGCAGCCCTTCACCCCTGTTCCTCCGAGCAGCTTCTGGGAGCAGATATTTGCGTTTATAGAGTTTGTAATCTCTCAGGCAGTGTGAAACCTGTATCTCAAGGTGTTGACCCTGGGAAAGTATAATATTGCTGCCAGATGAAAATACAGCTCCTGGTGGCTGATCTGTAATTTACATACAGATCAGAGTGATAGGGTAAACCCCACAGGTGGAAGGTGTTTTTTTAAGGATGTTAATAGTCAGCCAAAATAATGAATTGGGTTTTAATAAAGTGAAAACAGACTGATCTGGGTGGAGATGATATTGGTATTGGAAATTTCTTTACAAATTAACAATCTCTGGGGACGCCCAGGTGGCTCAGTCGGTTGAGTGTCTGACTTCAGCTCAGGTCATTATCTCATAGTTCATGGGTTCGAGCCCCACATTGAGCTCTTTGCTGACAGTTCAGAGCCTGGAGCCTGCTTCGGATTCTGTGTCTCCCTCTCTCTCTGCCCCTCCCCCACTTTCTCTCTCTCAAGAATAAATAAACATTATGAAAAATTAAAAACAAACAAAACCCCCCACAAATTAACAATCTCTGAAAAAGGAACTAGTATATATAGATTCTCTGTGACCTGAGACAGAGACTGGTCAGCCCACAGTCACGGTAGATATACCAACTTCCTTGGTTTTTCTTTTTTAACTTTTTATTATGGAAAAGTTTAAACTTTTCCAAAAGTAGAATAGTACCATCAACCCTGTATACCCAACACTTTTATCAACTCCTGACAACTTTGTTTCACCTATTACCCTCCCTTCTCTATTATATGGAAGCAAATCTCAAACATATTATTTCATCCATAAATATTCTTCATTCTCAAGAACTCTTTAAAAAATAAATAACCACAAGAGGCGCCTGGGTGGCTCAGTCAGTTAAGTATCTGGCTCTTGATTTTGGCTCAGTTCGTGATTTCATGGTTCATGGGATCAAACCCTATGTGGGGCTCTGCGCTGACAGCACGGAGCCTGCATGGGATTCTCTCTCTCTCTCTCTCTCTCTCTCTCTCTCTGTCTCTCTCTCTCCCCCTGTCTCTCTGCCCCTCCCCAGTTCATGCATTCTCTCTCTCTCAAATAAACGTTACAAAAAATAACCATAATATCATTGTTAGATCAAAAAAATCCAAAATTTACAGTTCCTTAATATCAAATATTCAGTCAATGTTTAAATTTTCAATGGTCTAATGAATTTTGTAATTCATAAATTATAATTTTATAATTCATCCCCCACATTGCAATTGCTTGATGTGTCTCGTAGTAAATTTCCCCCTCCATTTTTTATTCATTGAAACACTTTGAAAAATAACTTTCTCCCCCTACCTGACTTTAGGCCATGTGCTGCTTAGTACCACATTTATCATCTGTTACTTCATTGAGTATGGAGAATTGAAATTGAAGTTGAAAATAGGTCATTTTATTACTTGATAGAAATTTGGAGATAGAATGCTGTAGTCATAAGATAAAAGTAAGATTTTAGACAATTTTGTTTCCTTCGTATATTCAACGGACAAAGAGATACTGGTTCACTTTTTTTTCTATAGAATTTTTTAAATGTTTATTTATTTTTGAGATAGACTGCAAGTGGGGGAGGGGCAGAGAGAGAGGGAGACACAGAATCCAAAGCAGGCTCCTGGTTCTGAGCTGTCAGCACAGAGCCCAACTCGGGGCTTGAACTCATGAGCTGTGAGATCATGACCTGAGGCAGAGTTAGACATTTAACCAACTGAGCCACCCAGGCACCCCAATATGGTTTCACTTTTATTTGAGGACATTTGTGTTAGTCCATCTATCATTGTCCATCTTTTGTGTCTGCCATAGAGATGGCTTGTTTTGATACATTGTCAAAAAGTGTGATTGCATTTATTTATGATAAATTATATATACATACATATATATTCAGTCTTGAAATGTTTCTTGTTGAAAGTTTTCAAATGGATATTGCATGTTTTTTAGTGGATATCAACAAAATTTGTTATGTTGCAGGAGATCTTATAGATTCTGCTGGCACTGAGCAAAGTGGAATCATTTTTTAGAGTAATCTACATAAATATCTGGAATCTGGCCCCATACTTACACTAAGCTTACTGTTTATGCTTCTTTCATTTTTTTTCCCCCTGAAGATCAGTATTATTTTTTGAGGACTGTTGAGATTCAGAGATTGGTGTATTCTGATATAAGAAGTCATAGTCTGGATATTCTAAATGAGTCGCCATCACATCTAAGGAAGAATAGACATTTTCAGAGAGGGGTCTCAGACCAGGAACATTCAAACACCAGCTCTCTGACAGTTATTTCAGAGGCAAAAGCAATTTCTACTGGAAGCACAGCAGTCAGCATCTCTCTCTAATACCAGTTCTCTGTCACACACCCCTAGATAATCTATTGCATTGACACCTTCGTGACAGTCTAGCCAAGCCTGCTGATGTGGGATTGAGTTTTCCTGTGAATGCCAAGTTGGCCAAAACTTGGCAACAATCCTGAATTTGCTGAGAACAAAGTCTGTTAAAGCATACTTTGTGTTATAACCGGTTTTAAGGTTATATAGTAATAACAATTATTTTACCAACAACTTGATGAGTGAATGAAGCTATATTTGCCTCTGTTTAACAGAGGAGATGCCAGGTTATCTCAGCAATAAGTTTGGTTTAATGGTCACCTGACTATGTATGGACAAAAACACACTAATGCTTGACATCATATTTAAGTGACATAGAGACCCAGAGACATCGGGACCAGAGCTCGCACCGTCCCCGGGCTTGGTTTGGGCCACAGAGTCACAAATCCTCTCTGAGTCCTGAAGGCTCTCCTCCATCAGTAAATGTTGATTTGGGGTTAAATCCTTGGGATGTTCAATTAAAAGTTGAAACATTTATGGATAAAATCAGGACCACTCTATCCAGATTTGTAATTAAAAAAATCATTATGACAGAGAAGTTCATCTGAAAATCAATAAATTAGATACTGGAAAGCTTATTAGTTTCATGACATAGGATTTTTTTTTTTTAACTTCAAAAGCATTCTGCTTCAGGGGCATCTGGGTGGCTCAGTTGGTTAAGCATCTGACTTCAGCTCCGTTCATGATTTCATGGTTCGTGGGTTTGAGTCGCGTCAGGCTCCATGCTGACAGCTCAAAGCCTGGAGACTGCTTCAGGTTCTATGTCTGCCTCTCTCTCTCTCTCTCTCTCTCTCTCTCTCTCTCTCTCTCTCAAATAAGTTAACATTAAAATTTTTTTTAAGGATTCAGCTTCAGAAACATAAGTTTTGGGAACATCATTGATGCTAAAGGTTGGAATAGGGTAGGTCAATCTGCCCTCCCTTCCCCCATATCCTTGGGAAGTCCTGTTAGACTCTTGGGATAAAGAGCCCATCAGTGTGGCCAGCCTTTGCTTGGAAGATAGCTTGAAAAATCTATGTTTGCCTTGATGCTTGCCTGTTACTCATTTCTCCAGGTCACCCTCGATTTTTCAACCAGCTCTCCACTGGACTGGATATCATTGGTTTAGCTGGCGAATGGCTGACATCAACTGCCAATACCAATATGTAAGTTCCGCATATTATTTTCATGTAAGCAACCAAGATGTGTGATTATGGCTTGTTGCTTTAAAAGCCCACTTCCAATGGTTCTATAATAATGTTATTACAGTTACCTTAGTCATCTTTTCTCTTAAAATCTTTTAAGTTTATATTAGATTAAGAGAATCCACGTCTCTTAAAGATGCATCTAAAGAGGTCACATTTTGGAGTATGATCTTGGTCTGTTTTCCCACCTAAGTACATTGGTCCTCATCACTTAGGGCATATTTCCTTCACAGTTAAAGCTGCCAGAAAGCCACAAACTAGTTTGACCCACCTATTGCTTACCTAAAAGTTCTAGAACAAAATTCAGCTGGTAGTGATATATATTCCTTTCAAAATAACTCATTGTTTTTCTGAATTTGACATTTTTTTCTGTACTTGAGTTGGCAAAACCTTCATTTGTTTCCAGTTTCCTATAAATTTATATGAAACTGACTCTAAGGCCCTGGAGGTGCAAGGATTTCCTGGGTAGTCTTCTTGCAATCACCCCCACAGACTCCTTTATATATATACTCCCTCTTTCGAGACAAGGACAGGTTAGGAATTGATGGAGGGTCGTTATAGCCTACTGAGTACTGTCTTTTCTCTGAGCACTATGATCATGTTTTACCACTATCTATACACCCAGCCCATGGCACCACATTCTATTAAAATATCCAGAGGAAAATAATAAAACAAGTTTCTAACAATAATTTTTAAAATAACCATAGAAGAATTACATTAGTCACCGTGGAAATATTTAGAAAATAACCACCCACTTTCTAAGTTCATGGTGAAGTAGATTTGAAAAATGAATATAAGTGAAAGGGTGATATTGTTTAAGATGAGAAATTCCATTTGACATCAAGATAGAATGTAAGTTATTAAAGTTCGAGATATTCTATTTTTCTTCAACAAATTCCTACTGGCCACAAAACCTGAGAAGGCACTTTAAAATTATCTGTTGATACATGTGTGTTCCAAAGCTATTTAATGCTGTGACTCAAAATATTTAACTACATTCAGAAAAGTTTTTATTAATTAAGGATTCCTGCGTTGTTTGCTAATTTAAAACAGCAGTGACCGATTTTTAAAAGCAAACGTGACAAGTGAGGTTTTTAGTGCTAAAAGGCACAGGAGATTAAATTGATTGAAAACAAAAATGATTTTCATGCTCCCTGTTTGCAAGTCATGGTCAACGTCACAGAGTGTGTATGTTGGAGCACCGAGGCTATGAAGAGACAAGAGGAATTGGGATCAAAGATACAATTGCTTGTCTGGCCTCCTCTAACAAAAAAAAAAACTCGCCTTTGCAACCTTTACTGTGGTATGATTTGTGAGATACAAATATATCAGCAAGCCCAGACATCATGATGTACTAATTATAACTTGAAAAAAGACACTAATGCTTAATTGGAACATCTCATACTAAGGAACAATTTTAAATGAGGAAGTATAACTTTAAAAAAAAAACTTAACTATTTGGAAAATAAATGAGAAAAATAGAATAGGTAGAAAGGTATATATCCTTTAAGGCCCAAGTACTCATATTAACACAGGCACTGAATTCACCCAGCGTCTTTAAGTGTGTATCCTGTAGGCTTCTCAACTGCAATTTCCTAACATATATGGCCCATCTCAAGGTAAATTAAAGGAACTCGCTCTTTTGTGAGTTCATGACCAGATAGTCTCCTAAAAGGCTTTTCTTCAACCAAAGAGATCTCACAAATTCTCCTTTTTGTGTGTCCATAAAATCAAGTCTCTTACTCTTTCCTTACCTCAGCTCAGCCATGAAACACTAAAATATGTCCCAGCCATCTGAGGTCAAGGCCAGTCCAACTAAATGGCACATAGTAATTGCAGCTGTACTGAACACAATGGATATTTATAAAATATGATCCGATTCCAACAGATCGATAGAGAAGGTTATTTAACATAGTGAAATAGTTTCTGTCAGTTCTAGAGACAAGGCATTGTCTGAAGAAGTAATAACTATTATCTAGAAATTGTTCTAAGTCAGTTCCCCTGGAAGATCATGAAATGTGGTAGCACTGTCAGGAGCTTATGCAGAAATTTGCTCCCTTGAGACAGTTCCTTCTCCAGCTGGGGACAGTGTTCAAAATAAACCTGGGAAAGAATGGCAAAGGGATTTTTCTTTGGCAGAGCAGGCAAAATTAGTGACATACTCCTTTTGTTGGCCTGCTCTATCATTGCATTTGGGTGGCACCGGTAATAGAAAGTTATGATTATATTCCTCAATATAGTGTTTCAGAAAGAACTATGTGGTCTCCTAATTTGAGTGGCAAAGCGTAAGGTATCTGACTGTTCACAGAAAATAGAACATTTACGTTCATGCGTTTACACCTGCCTGTGCATGTAGCTTTGAGATCTGTTCTCCGAGCAAGGACCCAATGAAGATCCAAAGAAAACTTCACACATGTGCAGTTGTCCATGGCACGTCCAGCTCTTTTCTTCCAAAACAGGGCCACCGAGCACAACTCTGCAGGCTGAGCAGTGCCCAAGTGCAAACAGCAGCCTTCCCTCATGCACCTGACGACAATCCGTAATCTTAATGGCAAGATCTATCACAGCCCCTTGTTACGAGGTTATGGTTTCAAGTATCTAGTGCTTTATTTTCATAGAAATTACGCAGGAGAAATTTTCTGTGGCAGTTATCAGTCATTTTATACTGCTAGGCAAGTTGTTAGAGAGGAACCTGCAGTAAGCAGTTCTCATTCATCATAGAAAAGCAGCTGGGAGGTAAAAGACGGAATTCTGACTCCGAAATATACTGAGATCTTAAAGCAAATCACTGAATTTCTCTGAGACTCAGTTCCTTCTTCAGAAAATGGGAGATAATAATATCCATCCTACAGAGTGGTTCTGAAGACTGGAAAGGCACCAGTCTCAAGTGCCTGTTGTATGCAAGGTGCAGTGAACACGCCTAGGAGAGGCAGCCACTACACAGGCCACCGTTGCCATTTGAGATGCCTCCCAGCTCTTTTGTTTCTGTCTCTCATGATCTCTGGACACCAGAGGGGCTCTCTAAGCTTCCTCTCAGATGTGTTATCTTTTAAGGTGAAGATGGGCCAGCTGCCACATCTGTAAGGAAGAGAAATCTAAGAGGAGTGTAAAGTTAGAGAGTCTACATAGAAAATTATTTCTCTCGTTAAAGAAGTTCTCAGTTTGACAGTCACCAGAGCTCCAGGTTCCTTGTGCTTTTCTAATCCATATTGTAGCACATGGCTTTCATACTGAGAGTCACCTCATGGTGCAGGCTGGCTGCTGGAGCTCTAGCTATCACTTATGTGTCCCAGAATTAGAAATGAGGGAGGAAGAAAGGAAGGATGAAAGGGAGGAAGAGAGGGAGGGAAGAAGGAAGGGAGGGAGGGAGGAAGACGGAGGAAAGAAAGGAGGGGAGGAGGGGCGTGGTCAAAAGGGGAACACACTCTTTCTTTCTAAGCAACCTTTCCAGAAGCTCCACACAACAGTTCCCATAGCATCTCTTCAGCCAGAACTCAGTCCCATGGCCACACCTAGGGAGGCTAGGAAATGTAGTCTTTGATCTAGGTGAATTACAACCCTGAATAAAACTGAATGAAGCAAAGGAAAATTGATACTGGTTAGCAACCAACAGACTCTGCCACAAGAGAAATAGAAGCCTTAATCAATTTGCCTTAGTTTGGAATGAATCCCACTAGGAAGTTGAGTTGAACCACTAAAAAAGGGCCGACTCACCACCCTACTCAGAACATAGAAAGACTCCGAACTCTCCTTTAATGTCACTCATGAATGTCACCATCCTGTTTTGGTCCCTAATTTCCAGTCCCGTGTTCTTACTTCACCCCAGAGCTTTTTGAAGGTTTAGTTTCTTGTTCTCTGATTCTGAAATGTCATCTTATATGCTGACTTTAGCATCTAACCAGCTTCTTTTGAATCCTTATTTGACCTTGGCTCTCTGGGCTTTATTCACTTTTCGTCTGTCATTTAGAGAAGGGGTACCTCACTTGGAGTCCAGGTTGCAAGAGGAGAATCTCCTATAATTGCATACAAAAATGATGTGCATATCCTCATTTTCTTCCTGGAGAGAGGGACCATAGCTTTCCATAGGATTCCCAAAGGCGTCCATGACACCAGCTAAGTTAAGAGCCACTGCTCTAGGGTGAATTTCAAGGCCTTCTATAAGGCTTTAGGCACAGGCAGACTCCCAGTTGTAAACACGGTTCAGGATGGGAAGGTAGGATCAGAGAAGTATCAGAAGTAGGGAACATCCTGTTAGCCCATCTGTCAGGCTTAGCTGAGGATCAACAGCCATGGACCAATCTGTCAGCTTCCAAGAGAGGATGTCAGGACTAAAGCCATGAATCAGGATAAGCTTGGTGTTAGCTGTGGGATAACTGGTCCTTTAGACCTAGACAGGGGCTGTCAAACAGGATGCAACAAGGCCAAGAAACAAATGCTGGATTCATCCTTGTAAGCTTCCTCACCAAAGTTGGAAATGGTATCTAACATCTTTGTTTCCTCAGTATATAAGATGCTACCTGGCAGAGAATAGTCACTCGATAAGTATTTATTGAACAAAACTGAAAGAAAATTTTAGCAACTAGGAACCTGGTATAGATAAGGAGACTGAAATAGATGAGATCAAATAGTCTCATGATCAAACTCTCTAGACTCTTCCTCCTAATCCTGAGCATAATGGCCTATTCCTGGTCCTTGGGTAGAATCACTAATTCATGCAAACCTGGGACCTAAATTGATTTAAATCATGAAGCGGACCAACCCCCTGGCCTTCAGTGCCATCCGTCCTCCCTTCCCCCATGCGGTTCCTGCCCGGCCATCTAACACTGACTTGACTCCAACTCAGCTTTCATCTAATCCTCGATAAGGTTCTGATATTGTGGTGTATGATTCCATTTGTTCCTTGCCTTTTCCCAGAGAGCCTTCTCACTCAGTATTGCGAGATTCCAGCACGCACACTGACACCAGTACCTCTCCACCACACACACATTTTTGCCATTCCAACATTTGCAAAACTCAGTGGCACTATTGATACCACATTTGTTCAAGAATGGTTAGAAGCACATCATGAGTTTGCCTCTTGGTACACTCAGCAGCACAGGCTAAACCAGGAATCCTTCTCTTCTTCTTCCTTTATCAGGCCATCAGACATGAGGGAGTGTTGGTTGCTACGGTGATGGGGCTCAGAGCAGAACCAAAGCATGATTGTGACCTCCAGAGGTGATGGTAACTGAACACGATTTCCAAGGGTCCTCCTCCTAAATTTCAAGGGTCCTCCCAAGGAAAATGGACATATTCTTTTTGGAAACAGAATTCTTCTACCAACAGATATATCCTGAGGGTCCTCCAGGATCTCTTTGTTGTCTTTTACCCTTTGTCCTCTTTTACCACCAAGTGATTGATTTGATTGCTTCCCCCCCCACCCCCCCCCGCAAAACAATGATCAAAACTTGGTAGCTTCACCTGGCTTATTATACAATTGTTGTTTCATCCTTGCAAACAGCTTTTCTAAATCATTAAGCCAACAAGAATTCCCATTAGTCCTCGGTATTGGCATTCAGCCCAAACACCCTAATCAATGATAAAGTCTCCCCATATCACTTGACTGAGTCAATCTAGGAATCTCTCTTGAGCAAGCATGGTCTGAGCTGAGCCCACAATAGGCTCTAATGCTTAAGAATACCAAGCAAAAAGAAGAAAGACAAAGAGCCTCAGAGTCAGTAAATATCTTTTTGTTTTCTGGCTTAATTTGCGGTGGATGGACCTTCTCTGATTTCTCTTAAGCCCTATCCTTGGCACCACAATCTTGTTTCAGTGACTGGTCTACTTGACTGTGCTTCTGTTCTCAGTTGCTTTGAGAAGAGTATGGCTTGCTACTTCTAAATCAGTTTGTTAGAAGACAAAGCTAGCCTGCTCAGGTATCTGGTACCCACAGTCGGCTGTGTATGCCAGTTGACTATCTTCTTATTATTTATAATTGGTAATTAGAAAATCATCACTTGTAATTATTCTTGACAGATATTGACTTCAGAGAATTATAGAACCATAGCTGTCCTTGGGGATTATTAGTAGAAAAACCATGTAGATAATTATATTGAGATCTTTAAAACCTGGGTCAATATTTCCAATTAGATTCACAGTTAGGTTTCAGATGTTTACATTGTTTTTAAAAGATAGATTTTGGCTCTGAGTTTTATAGATTCTACCAGTATGAAACTGGCAGTCGGTTTCGGTCAGTTGCAAACCAATTTTATGTAGAACTTAGAATACATTTTTTCAATTAACATTTGCATCGTCTTACATCTTAAAGGTGAAGGAGATCCAAGAAAGTCATTTTCCTTCCTTCTATTTCTCTGGGTGGACCACATCTAAGACATTCCGTTCAGATAAAATCTATTTTGTTGGTGAAAAGTCACAGGGCAGGTATTTCCACCACCTCTCTAGGTAACCCAGACTGGTTTCTATTTTATGATTGGTGACTTAATACATTTCCAGGAAATAAATTGCTTTAGTGGTTTTGAGTACCTGTTTTTAGATCCCAAGTACAAATATTAAACCAATTATCTATGTTCCCCAAATAAGTGGTTTGACTTCTTTATGATCATTTTTTTCCCTCACCACCTTTTCAGGTTTACATATGAAATTGCACCAGTATTTGTCCTCATGGAGCAAATAACACTTAAGAAGATGAGGGAGATAGTTGGATGGTCAAGTAAAGACGGTGATGGGATATTTTCTCCTGGTATGTTTCTCTTTTTTCCTGACTCTCCTTGAGATTTGTGGCATGGATCCTTGGGATCCCTGAGAACCCTAAACCCAAAGTGAGTTTGTGGAAGAATCATGACCTTAAAAAGAATTTTTTTACAATACTCCTACCCTATCTTCGTCAGAGTGAAGGCTAGCAAGAATGCTGCATTATATACATACTATCTAACAGAGCCTATGCCTCACCTATACAAACTGACCAAGGTTGTGTTCAAATCATACCACACCACACCAGTCTGTCAACAACAATTTGATCGGTCTGAGGATCAGTGAATCAAGATTATCAGTTGACTAATCGATTGCAGCCAAAATAGTGTGTCTACTTTGAATCTCTAGTTTGATGTGGATACAGTAAGAATCTTTAAAACAAGGGCAGATATTCTTAGAGGTAAGTAGGACTGTGGGATGGTATCAGAGATGGCGTGATTGTTGTGTACAAGGGGAGAAGAAATAAGAATTACAATTGTCCAGGCTATTCAAGTCAGCCATGAATTTGCCTGTTTAATTGTCAAGTAATTGATGCAAAAGTGATTAGTTTGTGTTAGCCAGCCATACCTAGATAGTTACCTCAGTTCTCCTTATGTCTTTATTTAAATAAACACGAGTTTGGTTTTAATAAACTTAGAGTTCTCCTAAATGACTCAGTAACTCAGGTGAGCTGTTCTTTGAGAAGAGTATCCAGGCAATGTCACTGTTTCCTTCTGTAGGCTTCATTAGTCTCTCTTTCTCTGTCTTTCTCATTCAGAGAATAGATTCATCTTTGTTCAGTAAATAGATTGAGCAGAAAGTGAAAGCAGGAAGGTTGTAACTCACCTGTCTCTTTGCAGCCACTGCCTTTGCCACCTCTTGTATTTCTGTTTGGGCTTCAGGTGGAACAGGCATTGGAGTACATGAATCACCTCCAGCCAAATTGCCTAGATGGCTTTGGTAATGAGTGTGACTACTTGTGTTCCCAAGGCAAAGGGGTCAGAGGGAAGCCCTGGCAATAGGGAAGCAAAAGCTATCCGGATATTGTCCCTCCCCTTTCTGACCTCCTCCCTTGTCTCTTAAGACACCAGCTCAACCTTAATTATTAGAAACAATAATGATGGAGCTCCACACCTCCCCGTGTATCCTCTTGCTCTTAGGGGGAGCCATCTCCAACATGTACAGCATCATGGCCGCTCGCTACAAGTTCTTCCCGGAAGTTAAGACAAAGGGCATGGCAGCTGTTCCCAAACTGGTCCTCTTCACCTCAGAACATGTGAGTTGGGTGCTCTTCTCATGGATTATGGTGTTTTACAAGGAACTGTCTAACTTCTGACCTCAAACCTCTGTTTGTTGCAGAGTCACTATTCCATAAAGAAGGCTGGAGCTGCACTTGGCTTTGGAACCGACAATGTGATTTTGATAAAGTGCAATGAAAGGTAGGCAGGGGAGAGTGAACATTAGGTTCTTGATGTATTAAATGTGTTCATCTGTTAAATTTGTTTTATTGTGCTTAAGCACTGACTCAGTACAGTGTGCCAAGCTGCTAATGGCCTGTTGAAAATATCCGATTAAATTACTTTTTGCTGCTGCTGCAGTTTTTCTCATGTGCAATCTCATTGATTCTTCATTTTAATTTCTCTCCCTTTCTAATAATTACAGGGGGAAGATAATTCCAGCTGATTTAGAGGCAAAAATTCTTGAAGCCAAGCAAAAGGTATGTACCCTGTGGCGCACCTGAACTCTAGCAAACACAAAATTTTAAAAATACTTTCTTTCTGCCCTAGACAATAAAGGTCTCTGATAATATGAGATAATTTTGTTGTTTTTCTAAAATTATATTCTCAGGTATTTGCTTATTCCCAGCTTCTGAAATGATTTCACTTTAAAGCTGTGTCTATACAATGTCATTTTTTTTTTAAATGAGACATTCAGTCACTAAGCCACTTGTCCTACCGTTATTATGCCAAGTGATTAGTTTGATGTACTTCAATAAATCCACTACCCAAGCATCGGGAAGATACAGCCTAATTGAGCCTTTTACCTGCTACTTGTTAGGTATAATTTCAATTTAACAAATACAAATACCATTTTAGCTTTAGGCTTCTGTTTAGCAAAATGCTTCCATGCCATGCTGATTGGTGAATCAGCCTTAATAAATTCTATCAAACAAACAAACAAAAAGTCTCAGAGAACAGATGTACTCCCAAGGGACTGCCAGGTAGCTGTCAGGCATTTACCAACTTGTTGTTTTGGTTACATCCTTGTACCGCGTTCTCCAGCTATATCTGTTTGCTGGTCAGTAGAGGAGATGGATAGAAATGTCACTCAGACTGAGCAAGGGTCATAGGTGGAGCTGGACTTGAAAAAGACGTAGGATTCCCAGATTGCCCCAAGTCTGTCTTAGCTCTATTACTCTCCTTACTCGTTTATTTCTTGTTCACATCAAAATTTTAGTGTGCCCACTATTCATGAATATTTCAGCTTCCGCCCTGTTTTAAGTAAACAAACGATGCTTCAGGATAATGATTACATCAATACACTTAGAACAACGTAGCTTCAGGGCGCCTGGGTGGCTCAGTCGGTTAATGTCTGACCTTGGCTCAGGTCATGACCCCATAGTTCGTGGATTCGAGCCCCGCGTCGAGCTCTGTGCTGACAGCTCAGAGCCTGGAGCCTGCTTCAGATTCTGTGTCTCCCTCTCTCTCTACCCCTCCCCCACTCATGCTCTGTCTCTCTCAAAAATAATCGTTAAAAAAAAAAAAAAAGAACATCATTGCTTCTAAAATATACAATACCCAGATGATGTTTGGAGCTACATGCCCATCACTCTAAACACTTATTATTACTCTCTTCTGCTTTACTATTTGCCATAGAACTTACCACTATGTGGTAAGTTCTACTTACCATACTGTATATTTTGCCTGTTTAATTTTGTCTGTTGTCTATCACTCCCCACTAGAATGTTAACCCATGAAGACAGAAATCTCCATCTGTTGCGCTCACTGCTGTATTCCCCTACAGCTCTGTAGCAGGCCTGGCACGTAAATGTCACACCAAAACTATTTGTTGAATGAATGAGTAAATGGGCCAACGAGGAATTCTCCCAGACATAGGATCTGACACCACATACGCTTGGCTGATCTCTGCTGGAAGGAAATGCTACTGCAGTTCTACTTCGTGTGGAAAGGAGAAGGTTGAAAAGACTAATCAGCCTGTCTCTCTTCCCTTCTAGGGATACGTTCCCCTTTATGTCAATGCAACTGCTGGTACAACTGTTTATGGAGCTTTCGATCCGATACAGGAGATTGCAGATATATGTGAGAAATACAACCTGTGGCTACATGTCGACGTAAGTGCCATAACTCACAGAGCGGCCACTCCGTCTGGGGGTGGAAACAGCTCCACTTTATGATTTGCCACAAGTGGCTCCCAATGCTCCAGCCAGCCCTCTCTCCGCATCACGTTAGTTCAGCCCTTCTGCAGCCCCCACCCCCACCCCGTCGGCCATTCAGGCCAGGTTTGCACTGTACAGCTGTGCATCCCCTGGGACTCATCCAGCTCCTCCCCGGCCCACTGCTGTCTTCTGTGGTTCTTGTGAGGGTACAGCCCCCACCACCTTTCCAGCAAACTTTTGTCTAGACAAATGGCTACTGGGTGGAAGATAGCTGGTTTCAGAGGGAAAAACGTACAAGATACGGTATATAGAAAGCAGCCATGAAGCTGGACTCTCCGCCCTCTGCTTCCAGTCCAGCCATTTATGACCCTTTTCTAAAAACAAACATGTATCTGCTACATGTAGGAAAAATAAGGCAGTGTAAGGACGATTTTCTCAAGTAAGAGGTTCGGTCCCCAATTTTGCCAGAAACACACACATTTTCCACATGTGTGACTGGGTGTATTTTTTCCCTTCTCTCTCCATTCTCTTATGGAGATAACTTCTCACAACAGGACAATTGGGTAATCTGCCCGGTTCTTTGAGCACATAACTAACAAAGGCTGTGCTCACGTCCCATGGTGTCCCTGGATGCTCAGTAAACCTGCATCGGGGCGCCCGCAGAAATGTCTCGCTGTTGTGGAACCTCCAAGCCTGGCAGAGCTGCCACTTCCTGAACTTTTTCAGGATCCCTTAGAATTCTACCCCAGGGAGAATCGGATGGCAGCCTCCAGTCCTTTGCGTCACACCCGGAGCCGTGCTGGGGCTCACGGAGTGCCCCTGGCTTTCCACAGCACTTTGGGCCTTTGGGTCTTGGCACCATTGGCTCAGACCCGACTTACCTGTGTCAGTCACACAGCCGCTCTGAGGTTAACCTGAAGGAGCTTTTGAAGAAGTGACGAATGATAAATAATTACAACTGCCACTGGTTGAACAGTCAGTGTGGGTTCCTTTTGTCAAACAGACTTTCGTTTTTCACCATTTACATTCTGTCTCATATTTTACTAGAAGTGTGGAGTGATTGCTTTTGCATTCTTAAACGTCTCTGCTCCCCTTCCCTCTTCTGTCTCTGTCCTCACAGGCTGCCTGGGGCGGTGGGCTGCTTATGTCCAGGAAGCACCGCCACAAACTCAGTGGCATAGAAAGGTAAGGGCCTGAGCTCGGGCCACCTTTCATTCAGGCCATCAAGCATGCTGTGCTGCCTGGTCCACTGATGTTCCCTACCCTGATTCCCAATGTCTTATTTCAGTCTGACTAAGCCCACATCGGGTCAGTAGGCGTTCATTTGAGCAATTATCATATGCTAGACACTGAAAAAAGAAAAAAAAAAAGATTCCCAGTCAAATGAGTCCTTCTGAGTTCACAAATGAGAGAGAGAAAGACATGTAAACACTGATACACAATGTGATAAGCACTACAGTGGATGTGATTTCTGGGTGCCCATGTGGTAGAGAAGAGAAACAAAGCAGTGCAGGGATCTTAAGGCTAAATGAGAGGCTGCCAAGGGCACAGAAAGGGGCACTGATTCATTTCATTCTTTTGTCTCATTAAATTCACTGCTGGGAAAGGGGTAAGATACTTAGTGGATCTAACGAATTTACTTTCTTGTTCACCGTTTAAGTTCAGTGGGTCGTCCTAAGCCAAATACGATTTTCTTTTTCTTTTTTTTTCTTTTTAAACGTTTATTTATTTTTGAGACAGAGAGAGACAGAGCATGAATGGGGGAGGGTCAGAGAGAGGGAGACACAGAATCCGAAACAGGCTCCAGGCTCCGAGCTGTCAGCACAGAGCCCGACGCGGGGCTCGAGCTCACGGACCGTAAGATCATGACCTGAGCCGAAGTCGGCTGCTCAACCGACTGAGCCACCCAGGCGCCCCACGATTTTCTTTTTCTAACTGGTTCTACTTTTTATTTTTCCTGGCCCAGTATCTGAGCCATTTCTACAGAAGCTCCCAAACTGAAGCGCCCCTCCACCCCCACCACTTTGTTCCCCGTTCCCCTCAATTTACTGATTTCACTTGGTGGTCAAAGCCTTTGGCATGTTTGGATCTTGCATCCATTGGAAATGGCAGTCCCCTCTCCTGTCACCTACAGTGGCTGAAGAGGCAAAGAAGATTTCCCAGAGGAGGAGGGAGGCATCAAGACCCATCTGGGCTTTTCCCCAAATACTCACTGCTGCCAGGACACCTCCACCTGGACATTGGGGAACCAGGACTCTGCCCCGCCAGCTATAATTAAGGCTGCTTCTTGTGCTCACATGCTATAGCTAACCTGGCACATTTTGTGTCAAGAACAGAAGCTTCTGATCAGACAGAATGCAGTCATAAGCCAGATATGATTTTAACCTGACTCCAATGTATTGATCCAAAATGAACTCACCTTGATTCATTTATTCATTCAGCAAATATTTGCTGAGCACCTGTCAGGAGCCAGGCAGGTATGGATGTGAACACTCAGTTCCCTGCCTCAGTCCAGCCGTCTCTGGCACTTTTCTAAAAAATGTGTAGCTGGTACACATAAGAAAAATAAGGTAGGGTCCAGAAGGCATTATCAACTAAGAGATTTAAAATCTTCCTGAAGCTTACTGTCCGGGGCGCCTGGGAAGCACAGTCGGTTAAGCGTCCGACTTCAGCCAGGTCACGATCTCGCGGTCCGGGAGTTCGAGCCCCGCGTCAGGCTCTGGGCTGATGGCTCAGAGCCTGGAGCCTGTTTCCGATTCTGTGTCTCCCTCTCTCTCTGCCCCTCCCCCATTCATGCTCTGACTCTCTCTGTCCCAAAAATAAATAAAGGTTGAAGCTTACTGTCCAGTAAGGTAGATGTTCATAAATGAAGACACGTTTAGTCTGTCTCATAGGAAAGAAAAATAAAGTGGGGTTAGATAACAGTGAGGACAAGGTATGCAATTTGAGACAGGGTAGTCAGAGAACCTTCCTGAGGACATGATATTTCAGCGGATACCGGGATAAAGGGAGACAGGAAGCAAGGATACATAAAAGAGTATTCCAGGCGGCGGAAGGGCAAGTGCAGAGTCCGTGAAGTCTGACTGTTCTTGGCAAGTTGGAGGACCATCCAAAAAGGCCAGTGTGGCTGGAGCAAAGTGGGAGAGGTGAGAGCAGACCAAGGTGGAGAGGTAGACAGGCAGTAGGGAAAGCATGCCAGCGGCTTCTCCCACAGTAAGGACTCTGGCTTGAGTTTTAGCTACCTCTACTGTGCCTCTTCCCTTCTGGTTCAGTTTTGAAAGGCCAGTGTCAAGGTGAGTGGGACTGGCTCTCTGAAGCATAACTATATGACGCTGTGACCTGGAGGATGATATATTAAATGTAGATGAACGAGTCCAACTGTGCCTTAGATTTCTCAGGCAATCTCCATTTTCCATCTTTGAGTCAAGGAAAACCTAAACATTTTGCACAGACTTTTCTAACATTTTATTTTATTTATTTACTTATTCTTAGTTTATTTATTTATTTTGAGAGAGCGCGTGCAGCCGACCTGGGGAGGAAGAAGAGAGAATCCCAGTCTCCACACTCGGTGCAGACCCGTCTTGGGGGCTTGGTCTCATGGCTGCGAGATCATGACCTGAGCCAAAATCAAGAGTTGGATGCTCAGCCAACTGAGCCGCCTGGGCACCCCCTAACATTTTAAAGCGCATGTGTCTTCTAAAGGAAATTGAAACCATATCATATCTTATTACTTCACATTTGTAACAGCAAAGAATCATTTACTTCAGACCTCTAAGACATTCAAAAAACCATTTAAGACATTTTATGAGCTCTAAATAGAGTTTTTTAATGAATCAGTGAATGATAGCTATGAAAAAATCCATTAGGAGTGCCTGGGTGGCTCAGTTGGTTAAGTGTCTGACTTCGGCTCCAGTCATGATCTCACAGTTTGTGAGTTTGAGCCCTGCATCAGGCTCTGTGCTAACAGCTCAGAGCCTGAAGTCTGCTTCGGATTCTGTGTCTCCCTCTCTCTCTGCTCTTCCCCAGCTCATGGTCTGTCTCTCTCTCTCCTTCAAAAATAAATAAACATTAAAAGAAATTTTTTTAATTGATTAAATCCACTCTTTTTTTTTTTAAATATTTTTTTTGATGTTTTATTTATTTTTGAGACAGAGAGAGACAGAGCATGAACGGGGGAGGGGCAGAGAGAGAGGGAGACACAGAATCGGAAGCAGGCTCCAGGCTCCGAGCCATCAGCCCAGAGCCCGACACGGGGCTCGAACTCTCGGACCGCGAGATCGTGACCTGAGCTGAAGTCGGACGCTTAACCGACTGAGCCACCCAGGCGCCCCAATTTTTTTAATTGATTAAATCCACTCTTTTAAATATGGATCGACACTGATGATTTTTACTGAAATAAACATTTAGTAACCTTTTGTTACAATTCTTCACATGTCTCTTTCACAAAGGTTAACTTATTATGCACAAAAGGGAAAAGTACTTCAGGCCTAACTTCTTCTTGAAACACCCAGTAGTCACATATACACTAAATTATTTTCCATCTAAAGGACCTTAGCAAGATGAGGAGGTTAAAAATTCACAGCAAGGATTTAGCTCTAGGGGAAACAGAGGCAGTAGAATTCAGAGTCAGTTGCTATGTCTGGGGAAAGCATCCTTCACAGATACTAAAGTGCAGAGCCCAGCTGTGGGCCGGGCCATTAGGAAGGAGTCCGTAAACCACTGAAGCAAGGTAGCCAAGTTTCAATCATCATACACTACACTTAGTTGTCTCTGTAATGTCCTAGCTAGTGTGCCCCTTAACCATTTTACTGTGTCTGAATGACTGATGTGGTTGCTAGGAGACTGTGCTTGGTGAGCTGTCATTGCAGCCTAAACTGGCAATATCATCCTCATTTGGCATTTCAACAATGCTGCTAAGTAGTCAAAGTCTAGAATGATCCGATCGTTCCTTGCTTCATAGTACCTCATAAGTAGTGTCGCTCTTCATAGTACCTCATAAGTAGTTAGTTAGGTCAGCATCACCAGCCCATTTTGTAAATAAGAAGGGGAAGGCAGAAAGAAGCCAGTCTGTTGCCCAGAGGGAGGCAGGCTGGTGGAAGAGTTATGAGCACAGGCTCTGCAGTCTGTCTCCCCGGGCTTGACTCTCAGCCCTAGCACTTCCCAGCTATTCGGCTTTGGGTGATGTATTTCACCTTTTCATTGCCCGGTTTCTCCATGTAAAATGGAGGCGATAATAGTCGCTGCATCACAGGGTTGGTGTGAGAAGTAGATATTTCAGGAATGGTTCTTAGAATTTTGTATTTATTCGCTCGTTTATCCTTTGTTAAGGATAACTTCTTATTTTACAGATAAGAAAACTGAGGCACAGAGGAGTTATGTTACTTGCCCAAACTAGCAAATGTCAGAGCCGGGATTCAGACTCGGGCGGTCTGGCTCCAAAGCCTGACTCCTTAACCATGATACCATAGTGATAGAATGCCTGTAAAGCTCTCGGGACAATAGGACACATTACAAACGTTCTTCATAAATGTTAGTTATTGTTAACAGCAGTGATTTAGAACAGGCAGTCTGCAACTTAGGCCCCTAAGACTGCCTGCAAAATATTTGTTTACTCCTTGATTAGTCAGTTTGGGGGACTAGGCATCTAAAACATATACCGATTCTGGTTGCGGTGGACGGTGTTTTCCTCAAGAGGACGGTTGCCTCTTGCTGACTCCTGCACCTTCTTCTCAAAGTATCATGTGCTTCTTGCAGGGCCAACTCAGTCACCTGGAACCCTCACAAGATGATGGGCGTGCTGTTGCAGTGCTCGGCCATCCTCGTCAAGGAAAAGGTCTGTACTCCCTCCAAAGATGAGCTGGCAGCCCGAATGTCCTTTACGAGGCACAAGAAAAGCATGGACTGTCGTTTTATTTTTATTTGTTGGGCAGTACTTGACGAACACACAAGACTGGCAGCACCATTGAGACAACCATTGCTGTTCTTTCCTGCCCTTGTCTCTCAGCCTTCAGCCAACTAGTGCCTCCCGTTGGCTCCTGCCCTTCCTGCCCTTCAGGACTCAGGGCCCTGTCAGTGACGGAAACTATTAGGGCACTTTTTCATTGCGTGTTCCTTCACGTTTGTATAAACAAAAGTGAGAGCTCAAAAGTGAGCTGCAAACTCTCACCTCATTGAATACAAAAAGGGCTCACTGGAACCTACTGCAGGTTCTTAGCATGAATTTGTGTTCCCAAGAGCTGAAGTAAATTAGGCGGAACAACAGCTGCAAATGTCAAGTTAGGGCAACTAGGAATGTTGGCTAAAAAGCTTCTGTTAAATGAGTTAGTTCTTTAAGCATCTAATAATAAGACCCTGCTCTCAAAGCACTGTTGCTCCAGTAAAATGTTTGCACACGAGGCATTCCAAAAATCTGTCTCCAGTTTGTAGGAGCCAGAACCTGCCCAGGCTCTTACTCCTTTCCTAATAGCGTGTCTGGTAACATCACAGGAGATCCTGGAAAAGACTAGAAGACTTTTGGGGTGGGAGGGGCACTTTTGGGGAGGAAAATTCTTCATAGCCTGAAACTGTCCCACTCTCTGCAGGAAGTTTATATCCCCAACCTTTACCCACTGAACACCATAGCACTTCCCAGTCTTGGAAACAACCCCAAACACCCCACACATGTTTCTAAATGCCTCTTAGAGGCACAGTGGGTCCCTTGTGGTAAGCATCTGAGACAAAAAAAAAATCATTTAATAATCAGAGTGACAGAGAGAAAGGGGCAAAGGTTTTTCCAAGGATGGTTTTCTTTTTTTTTTTTTTCAACGTTTATTTATTTTTGGGACAGAGAGAGACAGAGCATGAACGGGGGAGGGGCAGAGAGAGAGGGAGACACAGAATCGGAAACAGGCTCCAGGCTCTGAGCCATCAGCCCAGAGCCCGACGCGGGGCTCGAACTCACGGACCGCGAGATCGTGACCTGGCTGAAGTCGGACGCCTAACCGACTGCGCCACCCAGGCGCCCCCAAGGGTGGTTTTCAAGAAAGACGTCAGAACAAATGCAAGGCCTCATAAAGACTTTAAAAGAAAGTTTCAGGTGATCCCAAGTCCCTCCTTCCTACCTACCAGCCCTGTTCCAAAGCCACCCACGTCTCTGACCTATGAATACAAACTTGTCCTATGTCTTGACCTATGATGCAAATTTGTCTTGATTTGCACGATAGGGTATACTCCAAGGATGCAACCAGATGTGTGCAGGATACCTTTTCCAGCCAGACAAACAGTATGATGTCTCCTATGACACTGGGGACAAGGCAATCCAGTGTGGCCGCCACGTGGACATTTTCAAGTTCTGGCTGATGTGGAAAGCAAAGGTACAAAGGGGTGAATTCAGGAAAGAGAAGCAGAAATGCAATTTGCACAGGCTGGCCGGCAAAAGAGAGGCAAAGGTGTATCACAGATAATTTAACATGTGTGTAATCGATATCTAGATAATTGAGTTAACCGTATTTTCTGTTTGCGAATGAGATCACTTTATCCCTTATGTCAAACTCTCCCTCCTTCCATTCTGTGTTCTCAATTTGAATTAACACGAAGTTTTCTTGTAACTTCCTCTTATAACAACTAAAAATTATGCCAAAAAAGGACTTCTACTGCAATCCTTAGGGATGCTGAAATTATTTAGTGCAGATGTAGAGAAAGAGATAGAGATAAAATTACTGTGTCATTCTATGCAGAACCCTGAATTTCTTATGAGGACTCCAATCATGGGTTATATGTGACAGTTTTTAGTTCTATTTAAATAATGGCTTTCTCATTATTTGTACTTTTTATGTTATTCTAGAAAATGCATATTTTATTCTGAGAAATCCTGCTGCTAGGCTAAGGCATGCTGTGTCTGCATTTATTAATTTTTCAAGTTGCATTTCTGTGTCTAGGAACAAAAAGCAAACTATTGGAATTTCCCCCTGAATTTGGGTGAGGGCGATTACCATTTTGACTATTTGTTTCAAAAGTATTTTTATGCAATCAAGTAAAGGCAATTTTCATATCACATCTCTTTATTGCAACCGTTGTTTTTACTTACCTACTGTAAATTAGTTTTAATAATTTCCACACTTGAAACTGTGTCTACTAATACCAAAACAATGAAGTTTTTCAGTGATACATCTCATCTAATGTTTCTTTGGTAGAAGGATTTAATGGATTATTAGTTTTTTTCCCTCATTAAGTCATTTTGTCTTAATATAGAAATAGTCTGAATATGATTTCTACCACCAAGTAATCATGGGTATTTTAAGCATATAAATAGCCATGAACTGCAAGAAGAGAAGGAGCCCTATCGTTTAGAAATATAATGACCACGTGGCTTACATCAGTAATTTGTGTCTTCATTTTGCCTGACAATAACCTCTTGAACCGTCTGCTGGGAGTTTGGCTCATAGCGAATCAGTTGCTGAGATGAGACCCTGGTGCAAGCTTCTTTCTCAAGTGGAAAATAGACTGGACAAGGTGTACACTCAACAGTGACTACTTGGGGAGGCTCATGCTTTGCCTGTGTTGGATTCTGCCCAGGCCCATTAGCAATCCACAAGCCAGCCTTGCGCATCTGCTCCCCTTGTTAACACTGACCCACTCAACAACCCCCATGCCGCTGTTATTAATCAGCCGTGCTGGTTTTTGAAACTCATGCTCAACCAGTTTGTCAATAACTGGAGCTGTTGGAATCTCAGGGCATGTACGGAGACCAATGGCTTCCCCATCTGCTTGCCTGCCTATCACCAAAAAGGGATATAATACTGTTATATGGAAGATAGCCTGCCAGGGAGTTTGGGGACATGCTTGGCTAGGACTTACTGCTGGGAAAGGTGGGTTCTAAAGTAGTATTTCTCAAACTATTTGTGGTGAAGAACCGGTTGTTTGGGTTTTTTAAATCTATCATGGACCAATACAGTAAAGATAAATTACTAGAAAAATGAAAGTAAAAAGTATATAAGGCTTAAACATCAATTTTTAAAACTAGATTCAGTAGACATAAAATTACTCTGTCAAAATTATATTAAGTTTTCTTACTGCTTAATCTCAATTTCTTTTTTTTAAGTTTATTTATTTTGGGGGGGGGAGACTGTGAGTGGGGGAGGGGCAGCGGAGGGGGGAGAGAGAGAGAGACTGTGAGTGAAAGGGAGGGAGGGAGGGGGAGAGAGAGATGAATGAATGAATGAATGAATGAATGAATGAATCCCAAGAAGACTCCATGCTGTCAACACAAAACCTGAAGCGGGGCTTGATCTCACAAACCGTGAGATCATGACCTGAACTGAAATCAAGAGTCAGACGCTTAACCAACTGAGCCACCCAGGCGCCCCTCAATTTCTGTTCTTACATTATCTTGCACCAGTTACAGTTTGTGGACTGTCCTCAATCCATAGGCAACAATTTGAGTACCACGATCCCAAAGCAAACTAGCAACAGGCTTCAGATCCAGGCTGTGAGTAACTAGAGGGAAGCTAAAAGCCCTATTGACAATAACTGCCCAGAGACTAGAGGGCCTTCAAAAGAGAATAGACACACTTCATATTATTGGGTGCAGTGCTGTGAAGAAACTGTACTCATTTAATTAAGCAGTTCTTTTTAACCATCTCCAAGAATACTCTCGTGTATTTCCAATAGATAAGGTCAGCATAGCTTTCTCAAACGCCCGTCACAGGAAAATACAACCCATCACCAACAAACATGACTTTTCTTTTTCTAAACCAGGGCACAGTGGGATTTGAAAATCAGATCAACAAATGCTTGGAGCTGGCTGAATACCTCTATGCCAAGATTAAAAACAGAGAAGAATTTGAGATGGTTTTCGATGGTGAGGTAAGTAGTCATCATGGACTAGATGCACAGCATTTCCAGAAAATCTAATGAGGGATGCTCCTGAAGCCATATTTTCCCACATTGCTGGAGGCTACTTCTGAATTTTTGTCTTTATGCACTTTTCATTTAATTCCCTCTGTGTCTATGAGCTTTTCTTTTGATAGCTTTGGAATGACTTTTGCCATTTGCCTTTTCTAAAATTGTCCAGCTCTTGACCAGTCCTTTGCAGACAAGAAATCTTTCCTTGGCACGTTTGAATCCTTTATCTTTCCTGGGTGTGTATTATCAATCACTGTGTTGAACTTCGTGATAAGTATTTCTCAGTTCCATGAAGCTTATAAGATGGGTATATCCTTGTCTTCTAAGACTTGTTCTAAAATGAAGTTCTACTTTACATAGATTCATTATGAGGAGAGCAAGATAAAATTGCTTTTGCTCTGAGTTCATATCCACATTACACATAACAAGATCCTTGTCATACAGGTATTGACTGAATCCTTGCTTTGTGCCAGGCCCTATGCCGTGAACTGGGTTATATAGTAGTGACCAAAACAGATATTGTCTCTGCCCTAATGGAGCTCTCAATTGGATAAAGGAAGTTGGAATAGGAGCCAGTATTTAATAAAAGGAAATCCACTCATAACCCATTATAATATAACACCACCTCCATTCAACTTAGTCTATTTGTCAGGCAGCCTAAGCTATTAGGAACACACTAGAGAGTCACCAGACGAGGACGAAAAAGCCCTGAGCAGTTCAACTTAATGATACAGTTCTCATGCATTTCACCTATGGGACCACACTTGGATCATTTACACTATTTTAAACATTCTACTAGCAGATTAGAGACAAATGTGATGTCTCAAGCCAGTTAGAGGAAGGCACAGTGATAGCAAATAGCAGCCTAGGAAGGAAATTGAAAAATTATGTCAAGAATACAGAAGAACTCTAAAAGGATAGGAGTTCTTAGAACAGAGACACTAAACAGTTCTAGGCATCTCAGTGAGGTCTGTCTTATGGTTTAGAGCTGGTATTAATATTCATTATGATAATCCTGACTAATCAATGAAAGATTCAGAATTAATATAATAAAACTCACAAAATATTCACTATCAAAATAAACTGTGTCCAGCATCTTCTATATATGAGGCACTACAAAATGGCAAGATGAATAATACTCTTTAAGAACTACCCAAATGTAATGATTTTTTAACAGTTCAATGTTTAAAAGTGGTAAATATAGTCATCTAGAAAATTGGTTATGGGAAACCGCTCTCTTGCCAGATATGACTGGACAAACTAGGTATTGTTCTCCCTAGTATAGAAATAACAATGCTTTCAAAATGGACTTGAAGCCCTTTTTTTTTTTTTTTTTTTAAATGTGTGTGGGATTTTTTGTTTTGTTTTGTTTTGTTTTTTGGTCTGAGAACCTTCCACCAAGGGTACATAGGGGTTTGGGAATAGCTTTTTTTCAAGTTCTCATAGTTTTCTGTTTTGTTTCTTTGTTTGTGAAAATTTCTGCAGCCTGAGCATACAAATGTCTGTTTCTGGTATATTCCACAAAGCCTCAGGGGCATTCCAGATAGCCCTGAACGACGGGAAAAACTACACAGGGTATGGACTCTTTTCTTGTCTCATCTAACCCTCTGCAATTTCTCTGGCTGGTCAGAACACTTTATGTGTCCTTCTAATGGAAGAGAAATAAAAAATAAAGACTTGGGGTAGTAGGGAGCCATCTTGTTATATTCTTTTTGGCTCTGGATTGTCCCCTTGCTGTGATTCAGATACAGCGGGAACCTCTAAAGGACGCACCCCTGTCTCAGTTTGGTGTTGCGGTATGCAGGACAATCGAATGATATGTGTATTCCTGGGAACTTCTGTATTAAACTGTGTCTGTTAACATATCTTTTAAGTTCAAGTCTACTCTAATATTGCTTCATTCCAGTTGATTTCTATATCGATTTTATTATTTGTAGTTGTTGGTATTAATACTTAATTTATATAAGATTTTATTCATCTAACGAATATTCATTGAGCATAATCTATGTGCCAGGCAGTATCCTGGGCTCTGGATTATTCAGAAGCCTTAATTTGTGTTGCAGCCCATAAGAGTTTTTTGTTTTTGTTTTTTATTTTGTCATTGTTCTATGACTGACTTTCGAAATTCAGTCACACAGTAGTTTCTGAGGGAATTTATGATAGGATAGACTTAGTCATTGGGTACTAACCACTGAGGAAACTAGAATATAAAATATTTGCTTTTATACCAGTACAAATACAAATAGCAAAACGTATATTGCTCTTTTTTTCAACTAGGAAATGGTTTGCATTAAGAGAGTTGTGTTAATATTGGTCTTGAGTTTGGTTTCGTGTTTTCCGTCACAAGGTGGCCCCCAAAATCAAAGCCCTGATGATGGAGTCTGGCACGACCATGGTTGGCTACCAGCCCCAGGGGGACAAGGCCAACTTTTTCCGGATGGTCATCTCGAACCCAGCTGCTACACAGTCTGATATTGACTTCCTCATCGAGGAGATAGAAAGACTGGGCCAGGATCTGTAATTGCCCTCCATAGAATATGAGTTTATGGGAATCCCCTTTCCTTCTGGCATTCTAGAATAACCTCTATAAATTGCCAAAACACATAGGCTATTTCACTGAGGGAAAATATAATATCTTGAAGACTACTGTTTAAACATTACTTAAGCTTGTTCTAGTATGTAGGAAATAATGTTCTTTTTAAAAAGTTGCACATTAGGAACACAGTATATATGTACAGTTATATATACCTCTCTCTGTATATGTATATGTATGTATAGTGAGTGTGGCTTGGTGATAGATCACAGCATGTGTCCCCCTCCAAGAGAATTAACTTTACCTTCAGCAGCTACTGAGGGGCCAAACATGCTGCAAACCTGCTTGCCCAACAACCCCAGGGAAAGATGTTTTTCAACATGTTGTGTCATAGGGACCAAGGGACATACTGTTGGTGAGAGTTGACTTTGTTGTCAGTGTTTCTCCTAACTAAAGTGATGACAGATGAGACAAAGTACCACTAGATGACAAGAGTCACACCCTCCCCATTAGTATCCTGTGAGGGGAAAATTGTAGCAGAGTCATTGTTACAGGTGTACTGTTGCTGTATTTTTAGAGACTAATTTGTGTAGATTGTGTATATTTCTGTTGTCTGACCTTTGGGGGGTAGGGGAAGGACACATGTAATGGTTTCAATGACTGTTTAAATTGTAGGTAAATGAAATAATTGCTTATTTATATTCAGAGATTTACCATGTTAAAGAGGCATCTTGTATTTTCTTCCCATTTGTAATGTATCTTATTTATATATTAATGCAGTAAGTTCAGAAAACTGTTTATGGTATTTTCGTGCATTTGTGAGCCAAAGAAAAAAGATTAAAATTAGTGAGACTTGTATTTATATTAGAGTGCCCTTAAAATAATGATTGAAGCCTAAGTTTACTGTCTGTAAGAGAATTCTGATACTGTACATAGAATCATCTATACGGAAATCCCATTACTTAAATAGCATCTGGTCTTCTATTACTCTCTCCGTCTGGCTGTGTGTCTGGTGTTCTCAACGCTTTTCTAGTAACTGTTGGATTATAACTAGATCTCCTGTAATTTTGTAGTAGTTCATGACCAATCTCTGTGACTCGCTTAGCTCAAACCTAAGGCAACGTTTCCGAAGACCTTCTGAAGAGCTCCGATAAACTGACCAGGCTCACAACTGTTTTTGAGGAAAGGAAATTCACACTGTGCGTTTTAGAGTATGCAAGAAGAATATAAACAAATAAAAATATTCTCCATGGAGAATTGGAACAAAATTTTCTCCTAGTTTGTGTTTGATACACAGAGCTTTCCAGTGATGGTTACGGGTCACCACAGCCCATCTCCTTTCCACCAGCTGACTTAGGTGACGGTCAGTAACCTTCTTAAGGGTATTGGGACTCGACCCACTGTCATAGGTGCCCGACCCCCTGATCTGTACAATCATTATGACTGTAATTAAATAAAATTTGCAATTCAAGCCTAGAGAAAGAAAAGCCATCCCTGTTTCTCTTTTTCTTATTTGCATCTTGGAGTTCCATTCATGCAGTCATTCGACACATGTTTTCTTCCTCTGTCGCAGCCACCATTCTAGGCACTGGGGTTACAGTAGAGTGCGTGGCAGATAAAGTTTCCTTCTAGTAGGGGTCTTACAGCATTTGGCATCTGTGGTATCTGGATACTTCTAAGATCACAGAATCGTGCCTCACTGCTGCTTATGCTTGAGCAGTGGGCCCAATTCACTTTCTCAGGAAATACGTTTTGGTGCTGGATTGTTAGGAAATAGGGCCCATTTTCTACAACATTCTATTTAGCTATAATAATACCATTTCACTCATTTGGAATACAAGGAGTTCTCTATTCAGCACACACAGGGGTTAGATAAAAGTCCTTTGTAATGAGCATCCTGACTTCACATGTAACTGTTGTAGTAAACAGAGTCCCACGGGGAGATGATCACAGTCACTTTATTCTGTCTGCCACTGTTCCTTCAAATCCTCTCTGTGGTATGATTCTTTCCACGCCCCTGTTTGAATTCAGGTCAATCCCAAAGCTTTGCTGGCCTCTCAGTTATAAGAACAGTTTCATCTTAGCAACCAAATGTCCAGCTCAGTGTAGTAAGACTTCACGTTTTTACACAACAGGGACCCTCCCTCGGCCTGACAGTGTTTAGGCTGCAGTCCCGTAGTGGCATGGGGAGAGGGGCTGGTGTTCAGATACGGTCAGCTTCTCTTTTTACTCTTCAGCTCATCTCTGCTCCCTAGCTGCTGCGTTTCCCCTGGAGGCAGAGGGATTAAAGTAACAGAGGCACAATTTTAGGTAGCTGATAAATTCTCATCTAGCATCAGGGCCTCTGGTCCATGAGAGTTTTTTTCTCATGGGACCATGAGGTAGGGAGGGGGCGGAATGGGGATTTTTTTTAATTAAGGTAAAGTCAAAGATACAATAAAATTCGTTCTTTATAGCGTACCGTGTATAGTGTTCTGCGAGTTCTGACAAACCCATTCAGTCACATAACTACCACTACAAGAAATTTCCCCATGTCCCTTTGTACGCACCACCTCTCCCAATCCCTAATTCCTGGCAACTTCTGGTTTGTTTTCTGTCCCTAGGGTTTTGCCTTTCCCATCACGTAAATGGAATCATATAATATGTAGCCTTTTGAGTCTGGTTCCTTTCACTTAACACAATGCATTTGAATCCATCCATGTTTTGTCTGTATCAGTTGTTAATTCCTTTTATTGCTGCATAGTGTTCCATTTGTATGGATGTGCCAGTGTGTTTATCCATTTCCTCACAGAGGGAAATTTGGGTTGTTTGCACTTTGCGGCGATTAAAATAAAGTCGCTCTAAATGTTAGTCTGCAGACGTGTGTGTGAACATAGGTTTTCGTTTCACTTGGGTAAATGCCTCGATATAGAATTGTTAGATCATATGGTAAGAGTGTGTTTAACTTTACGAGAAACTGCTCTACTGTTTTCCAAAGTGGCTGTACTGTTTGGCATTCTCACCAGCAATGTACCAATTTTCCAGTTGCTCTGTATTTTCGCTGACAGTTGTTCTTATAAATTTTGACAAATTTTAGTCTTTCTTTTTTTTTGGTTATGGCTTTATTGAGATATAATTTACATGACCATATAATTCACCCCTTTAAAGTGATAACTTCCTGGCTTGTAGAATATTCCCAGAGCTCTGTATCCATTATCACAATCAATTTTGGAACATTTCTATCATCCCAAAAAGAAGCCTTGTACCCATTAGCAGTCATTCCTCATTCCCATACAAATATTCCCTCTAGCCCCTGGGAACCACTAATCTACTTTCTGTCTACAGATTTGCCTTTTCTAGACACTTCATATAAATGAAATCACACGAAGGTGGTCTTTTGTGACTGACTTCTTTCACTTAGCGTGTTTTCAAGGCTCATCCATGCTGTAGCATTTATCACTACTTCATTCCCTTCATTGTTGAATAATATTCCATGTAGAGATATACTACATGTTTTTTAAGTTTATTTATGTATTTTGAGAGAGAGAGAGAGCACACGCAAGTAAGGGAGGAGCAGAAAGACAGGGAGTGAGAGAATCCCAAGCAGGCTCTGCAACGTCTTTGCAGAGCCTGAGGCAGGGCTCGAACTCCTAAACCCTGAGATCATGATCTGAGCCCCTGAGCCGAAGTTGGATGCTTAACCGCCTGAGCCACCCAGGTGCCCCTATACTCCATTTTATTTATCTATTCATCAGTTCAATGGACATTGGGGTTATTTCCACTTTTTTGGTCATTGTAAATGATGCTATTAGCACATTTGTGTGCAAGTTTTTATACAGACATACGTTTTTGAACTAATAGTGGTATCTTGCTGTGATTTTCATTTGCTTTTTTATGAAACACTTTTGATGAAGTCAAGGTCTTTCCTCCTGAGACCGCTTAGGACTCATGCTCAGCGCTGGCCCTCTTGACAATCTACCCTGTCCAAACCATTTGTTAGGAGCCCTTCTCCCCATGCCGTACTCTTGGGTGGTGTCCCTTTTATTTATAATCAGTATGTGGGGGGGCCCCTGCGTGGCTCAGTCTGCTGAGCATTTGACTCTTGATTTTGGCTTAGGTCATGATCTTCTGATTTATGGGGTTGAGCTCCACTTCAGGCTCTGCCCTGAGCATGGAACCTACTTGGGATTCTCTCTCTCTCTCTCTCTCTCTCTCTCTCTCTCTCTCCCCCTCTGCCCTGCTCCTGATCCACACATGCATGCACTCTCTCCCTTTCTCTCTCTCTCAAATAAGCTTAAAAAAAGCAGTATGTGGAATATATAAGGAGGGTTTTGGTGTGGTTTTTTGTTTTTACTTTTCTTTTAAACAGGCAAGTAAAGGATAAATAATAACAGAATACTTAAGTACCCACTTCTCAGCCAAAGAAATAAAACATTATCAGTACCTTAGAGCTGTCCAACCCATCGTGAACCCTTCTTACCTGGATGTTTCCTCTTTCCTGAGAAATAATTGCTATTCTTTTTTTTTTTATGTTTTTTTACTTTATTTTATATTTGAGAGAGACAGAGAGACAGAGAGCGAGCAGGGGAGGGGCAGAGAGACGGAGACAGAATCTGAAGCAGGTTCTAGGCTCTGAGCTGCCAGCACAGAGCCAATGCGGGGCTTGAACTCACAAGCAGTGAGATCGTGACCCAAGCCGAAGTTGGATGCTTAACCAACTGAGCCACCCAGGCGCCCCAGAAATAATCACTATTCTGAATTTTATGTTAATCACTCCCTTGTTTTTCTATGTAGTTTTACCACATGTATGAGTCATTATTGTTTAGTTTTACCGGGTTTTGTACTTTATAGAAATAGAGTAATACAGAATATATGTAATTCTATGATTTGTCTTTCTGTTCAACGTTATGATTTTGTAGGACCAGAGCTAACCTATAGGGGGTCTTTGTACAGTTAAAGAAATTAAAAAGGCACCGCTCCTCCCTTCAGGGACAGGCATCCCTGTGCTAGTGTAAAGCTTGGCACATAGAGCATGGAATAAATTTCCGTGCCTACTGAACCCATGGCCACAGCTTGCAAACACAGCCTTACATGGTAGCTTCATGTTGTTGAGATTTACCTTTGATGATGGTTCCAGCTGGGATTCATCCACTTTTATGACTATTCTATTGTATGAATATAGTGCAGTTCATTTATCCATTTGATCAGGGGCGGATATATGAATTTTTTTCCAGTTTCCTGCCTTTAGGGCCAATGTTGCTATGAGCATTCTTGTACTTGTTGGCTGGTGCACATGTTAAAAAAAAAAAAAAAAAATTCTAAGGCTTATGCCAAGAAGTGAAATTGCTGGTTCACATTGCTGAACT